AGCGGCCACTGCACTCCAGTCTGGACGACAGAGTGAGACTCCAACTCAAAAAAAAAAGATGTAGCACTGGCCGGGTGCAGTGGCTCAAGCCTGTAATTCCAACACTTTGGGAGGCCAAAGTGAGAGGACTGCCTGAGTCCACGGGTGTGAGACCAGCCCGGCAACTTGGCAAGACCTCATCGCTACAATAAATAAAAAATTAGCCAGGTGTGGTAGCACACCTCTGTAGTTCTGGCTACTTGGAAGGCTGAGGCAGAAGGATTGCCGGAGCCCAGCAGCTCGAGGCGGCAGTGGCCAGGAGCGTGCCACTGCACTTCAGCCTGGGTATCGGAGTGAGATTCCAACTCAAAAAAAAAAAAAGATGTAACACTAAGAAAAATCCGCCAACTGAACTGTAACATACCATCAATTATAAGGCACAACCCAATTCCAGAGACAATAAAACATATACTTTTTCCCACTGACAAAAGATAAAATGTGCACTTCAGAACTGATATATTCCATGTTTGCTCTCATTTTATAAAGAAAAAGATTAGGAGGAAAATGTTACCAGCAAAAGGCAATTTTTTTTTTTTTTTGAGTTGGAGTCTCACTGTCGCCCAGACTGAAGTACAGCAGCTGCTCCCAGCCACCGCAGCCTCGACCTGCTGGGCTCCGGCGATGCTTCCGCCTCAGCCTTCCAAGTAACTGGAACTACAGGCATGCGCTACCACGCCCGGCTAATTTTTGATTTATTGTAGAGATGAGGTCTCACCAAGTTGCCCAGGTGGGTCTCGAACCCACAGGCTCAGGCAATCCACTCACCTCAGCCTCCCGAAGCGCGGGATTACAGGCTGAGCCACCAAGCCCGGCTGGCAATTTCTTTCTTTTGGCTTCTTTCTCCTTGCCCTCATGCAAATTAAAATTCAGCCAGTGAAGATTCGTGTGTTTAGGATTTACAGACTTCTAAGGTAGAATCCCAGGAGACTGTCTCCAAGAATGAAGGCCATAAAGGAAGGTGATGTGGCAGAAGGGCAAAAACAAGGAGGGAGGTGGGAAAGATGCCACTTTGGGAAGATTTGGCCTTGGCCTTCCCAACGATGTACTTGAGGAAAATAAACCCATGCATTCTGACCCCTCCCCACCCAGGCCAGCTTCTGTATGAGCTGGGCCTCTTCCTAAGGGCCCAGGCTACCCCATGCCCCACCTCCTTGTTCAGTCGGTCCACAGTCCTGTCCAGCAAACGCTTCTGCTCTTCCAGCTCAGCCTTGCCGCGCCGGAGTACCTCCCGCTGCTTCCCCTCCTCCTCCAGGGCCCGGTTCAGTGCCTGCTGCTCCTGTCCCAGGCGGGTCAGCCCCCGCTGGGCCTCCTCCAGCCGTGCCTCCAGTGCCCGTTTGGCTGCTGCCAGGCTCCCCTCCTCTTCCTGGGTTGCATTCAGGGCCTCTTCTAGCAGCTGTTTCTCTGCCTGGGGTGGGTCGGGGGAAGAGAGTCTGGGCTGGGAGGAGGCAAAGCTTGGGCTCAAACCATCTGGAGGTGAGTAGACGGGGGGGAGGAAGTATTTACAAAAAAAAAGAGGGCAATGAAAACAGGTTCAAGCCAGGCTCGGTGGCTCAGCCTGTAATCCCGCGCCTTTGGGAGGCTGAGGTGAGTGGACTGCCTGAGCCCACGGGTTCGAGACCCGCCTGGGCAACTTGGCGAGACCTCTCTCTACAATAAATCAAAAAATCAGCCGGGCATGGTAGCGCATGCCTGTAATTCCAGCTACTTGGAAGGCTGAGGCGGAAGGATCGCCGGAGCCCAGCAGGTCGAGGCTGCGGTGGCCGGGAGCGGCCACTGCACTCCAGTCTGGGCGACAGAGTGAGACTCCAACTCAAAAAAAAAAAGAAAACAGGTTCAAGACACACAGAACAAACAAAGCGTGGGGGATAAGATAGACAAAAAAATACCAGTACAAAGTCTAGAACATTCACACCAACGTACACTCCAGGAAAGAAACCCAAGGCTAACTGAGGGCTGAGGAAGGCAAAACAAAAGTACACGAAGGGCAACACAAAACCCACGGCTGAGTATTTCATGTTGGAGTATTTTGCCAGGATGGAGCAGAGAGGGCCAGGAGCAAGCCCACACCTGGGCAGAGGCACTGACCTCCAGCCGTTGCACCTTGTCCCGGAGTCGCGCCTCCACCGCTTCCCCACCATCCACCAGGCCTCGAGCCTCCTTCAGCTGCTGCTCCAGACCCAGGATGCGCCGGCGGAATTCGTCGTTTTCTTCCTGGGTCTCCCGAAGTGTTGTCTCCACAGCGGTCCGCCGTTGCCCCAGCACTGCTGTCTCTGCCTCGGCCACCATCTTAGCCTACGGACGGTTCAGGGAGTGGAGGCTCAGACCCCAAGGCCCAGGGCCATTGACCACGCCCAGGAAAGACGTCCCAAAGACAGTCACAAGAGAGATTCTGCTGCCAGCCAGAGGCTTCCCCGGGTATCAGGCCAGCAACCTCCCCCTGAAAATCCTAGCAGCTTTGAACCACACACCTAGGACCAAGGAGCTGGTCGGTACATACCCATGACAGGGCACTTTCCACGCCCTCTGGCTCTTCACAGCCCTCCAGACCCCTCAGCCTCCACCTCCTAAACCCTGGGCCCACTCCCCTTGCCTTGGAAGCCTCTTCACAGTCCTGTCTCAGTTGCTGGATGGTCTTTTGTAGCTGGAGGTTCTGCTGTTCCAGCTCCCGGCCTCGGTCAGCCTCGACCCTCAGGACTGCCAGCTGCTTCTCCAATTCCCGGTCCCGGTGTCGCCCAGCCACCTCCTGGCTCTGCCGCTCTGCCTGTAGCTCCTTAAGCTCCTCCTGTGTCCGGCGCAGCTCCTAAAAGGGAAGGGGTGTGGAGAGAGGGCACAGAGAGCCAGACTGAGATACAAGACTGTGGAAAAACCAAGGCTCCTGCACATTGCCAGAAGGAATGTAAAATGACGGGGCCATTTTGGAAAGCAGTTTGGCAGTTTCTCAAAAAGTTAAACAGAGTTATCGCATGACCCAGCAATTCCACTCCCAGGGCTATACCCAAGAGAAATGAAAATTTATCAAACAAAATCTTGTATGTGAATGGTCATAGCAGCAATATTCATTATACTCCAAATGTAGAAACGACCCAGATATCCGTCAATTGATGAACAGACAAACTATGGTCTATCCACAGGGAGGAATATTATACGGCCATAAAAAGGAGTGAAGTACTGATACTTACTCTGCATGAACGAACCCTGAAAACATTATGCTAGGTGAAAAAAGCCAGACACTTAAAGCCACATAATGTAGGGTTCCAATTACATGAACTATGAAGAATGGTAAATCCAGAGAGACAGAAAGTAGATTAGTAGATTAGTAGCTGGCAGGAGAGAGAAGGAATTACTGGTAGTGGGTATGAGTTGCCTTTTTGGGGTAATTAAAATGTTCTGTATTAGATTATGGTGATGGTTGTACAACTTTGTGAATATACTAAAAACCCCAGAATTGTACATAAAGATGAATTTTATGATATGTGAAATATAATTCCACAAAAATAACTAATGTAATGGGAGAGTGGGCTAGAGTATGGATAAAACTAGATTGACTGTTTAAAAAATATACATATTGAAAACTAGGCTGGGCACGGTGTCTCCACCTATAATCCCAGCACTTTGGAGGGTGACGTAAGAGGATTGCTTAAGGCCAGGAGTTCAAGACTAGCCTAGGCAATATAGTGAGACATAGAAAGATCTCATCTCTACAAAAAAAATTTTTTAATTAGTCAAATGTGGTGGAGAATGCCTTTAGTTCCAGCCACTCAAGAGGCTGAGGTGGGAAGATAGTCAAGCCCAGGAGGTTGAAGCTGCAGTGAGCCATGATCATGTCACTGTACTCTAGCCTGGATGACAGAGTGAGACGTGACTAAACAACAACAACAAAAAACTGAAAACTGCTGGGTTTGGTGGCTCAGCCTGTAATCCCATGCTTTGGGAGGCTGAGGTGAGTGGATTGCCCGAGTCCGCGGGTTCGAGACCTGCCCGGGCAACTCGGCGAGACCTCATCTCTACAATAAATTTAAAAAGTCAGCCAGGTGTGGTAGCACGTGCCTGTAATTCTGGCTACTCAGAAGGCTGAGGCCAAAGGACTGCCGGAGCCCAGCAGGTCGAGGCTGCTGTGGCCAGGAGCGGCCACTGCACTCCAGTCTGGGCGACAGAGTGAGACTCCAACTCAAAAAAAAAACAAAAACAAAAAAACTGAAAACCAAAATATGTGAAACAATAAATACTGGTGTAATTCTTTTAAAAAGAAAATTAAAATATCAATTCTTTACCAATTAGCTACTTCTGAAATTCAGAAAGCACCATAGTTAGGCTAAAGAGTTATAAAATTTATAATGAGTCTTCAGTGTAAGACACTAACAAAACTAATTAGAAAGAAAAACAGCACAGAGTATGGTCTATGCTGAACTTGGTTAGTCTGCTTTTCTAATGTGTGCTTTGTTTATTGACCAGATACTTGATAAAATACACTTAATATATGAGACAGATGAAATACCCATATTGCTTTTTAGTTTTATCCAGAATAATAAATCAACTGAGATTGTCTAGGGAACTACCCAAGTTCACTGTGTCTGCCAATATAGGTTGAACATCCCCCAAATCTGAAAATTCATAATCTAGAAAGCTCCAAAACCCAAAACTTTTTGAGTTTGATTTGGCCCTTAGATTTTTGGATTAGAAATGCCCAACTGCTTGGTCCAAACAATACCAAAACACTTTCAATCCCATGCATTTCAGATAAGGGCTATTCAAACTGTATAGCGAACATAATTCAGACTATCCTTATTATTTGTGTGTTTTTTTGTTGTTGTTGTTTTGTTTTGTTTTTTGAGTCGGAGTCTCACTCTGTCACCCAGGCTGGAGTGCAGTGGCACACTCACAGCCACCACAGCCTTTACCTGCTGGGCTCAAGCGATCATTCTGCCTCAGCCTTCCAAGTAGCTGGAACTATAGGTGTGTGCCACCATGCCTGGCTCATTTTTTTTAATTTATTGCAGAGAAGAGTTCTTGCCAAGTTGCCCAGGCTGGTCTCGAACCCTGGGCTTAGGCAATCCTCTCACCTTCGCCTCCCAAAGTATAGGGATAACACGTGTGCACCACCATGCCCAGCTCTTACTATTTGTTAACTCCAAGACAATATAGTAAAAATTTAAGAGTAGTTTTAACTTGACCATTCTTTTGGGAGTTTTTCTAAGAAGATAGAATTTTAAATTACAGCATGAAAATTACCAAAGTATATTTGGTTAACATTTATATTTTTTCTCCACCAAATATTTTGGGTAATCTCAGGTTTTTATTTATCTGGAAAATAATCACTTATAGCTCTATTTTTACTCATTTTAAAATATGAGCCAGGTGAGCGGCACATGCCTGTAATCTCAGCACTTTGGGAGGCCAAGGCAGGAGGATCACTTGAGCCCAGGAGTTCAAGACCAGCCTGGGAAATATAATGAGACCTCATCTCTAGTATAAAAATGAAATTCAATTATTACATAAATGTTGTATTAAAATAATAAAAATATGATTACTTTGATTATAATTAGGCAGTCTTAGTTGAGGTGAAATAAACGAGCACTGATTAACTAATACTTGTTTTATTTTTTTATCTATTTTTATTTTTTGTAGAGACAAGGTCTCGCCAAGTTGCCCGGGCTAGTCTCGAACCCGCAGGCTCAGGCAATCCACTTGCCTTGGCCTCCCAAAGTGCTAGGATTACAGGCTGAGCCACTGAGCCCAGCCAACTAATACTTGTTAACTGAGCAACTACTACATAGCCAGCACAATTAATCAATAGAACTAGAAGGATCTTCAGAAGGCCATAAATGCCAGTACTTATCACTAATGAGAAGGTCTTCTAAGTTATATAAATCATCAAAAGAATTCACTGCCATCTTATCCTTCATAAACTCAAACATCAGGAATATGAAGAAATTATCTGTGTGTACACTTCAACTTTATGACCTTGTCGTTTGTGACTCTTTTTAAAATATCATCCATGCATGATTAAAAAAAAAAGAGCATTAACTTAAAAAAAAAAAAAAAAAAGGCCAGGCACAGTGGCTCACACCTGTAATTCCAACATTTTGGGAGGTTGAGGCAGGAGGACTGCTCGAGCCCAGAAGTTTGAGATCAGCATAGGCAGCAATAGCAAGATCTCATCTCTACAAAAAATCAAAAAATTAGCTGGGTATAGTGGCACACACCTATAGTTCCAGCTTACTTAGGAGGCTGAGGTAGAAAGACTTCCTGAGCTCAGTAGGTCAAAGCTGTGGTGAGCTGTGATCATGCCACTGCACCCCAGCCTGGGTGACAGAGTGAGACCTTGCCTCAAAAAAATAAAAAAAGAATAAGGCTGGGTTTGGTGACTCAGTCTGTAATCTCAGCACTTTGGGAGGCTGAGGTAAGTGGACTGCCTGAGACTGCGGGTTCGAGATCCACCTGGACAACTTGGCGAGACCTCATCTCTACAGTAAATTTTTAAAAAATTAGCCGGGCGTGGTAGCGCACACATGTAGTTCCAGCTACTTGGAAGGCTGCGGCAGAAGGATCACTGGCGCCCAGCAGGTTGAGGCTGCAGTGGCCAAGAGTGTGTCACTGCACTCCAGTCTGGGCGACAGAGTGAGACTCCAACTCAAAAAAAAAAAAAAAAAAAAGAATGAAGAGGAAATCTTATAAACTTTGAGTATTAAAGTCTCACCAGCAAGGCACTGGCCTCCTCAACCTGGAGAGGATCTCCAGCACTGACTCTCCCCCTTGGAGACTGGGGAGGTGGAACCATTAAACATGGGAATCCTTTAATTCCCCAAGTCTAGATTCTATACTTTCTAAACAGTCTTCAGATTACAATTTGGCTTCCCATGTAGGTCAGCTGGCCATGCCAACACAAGTATTCCAGTCCACGTGATACTTCTCATTGTAAATTAATAAACTGGCATTCTAATGGTAAGCATTTTTTTCATAAATGCAGTTAATGAGTCCCCAGTAAAAGAGCAGCTTTTGCTATGCTGACCAAATTAGGTTACTGAGGCTGCAAAAACGACCCGCAAGTTGCACAAATCCACCTAAATGCTGCAACCCATGACATCTTTTGGGAGGCAGCCAGCAATCTCTGGCCATACCCCAACCTGACCACTGAGAGCTCATTCCATTAGAAATCTCTATTCTCAGTGAGGAGACCAGCCCTGCTGTGCTGGAAAGAGACAAAGCTGAAGAACTGGGGAATGGGGAGGGGGTGTCCTGAAACCAAGCACAGGAGAGGCAGCTCTCTAGCATAGAGGCCTCTGTGGACAGGTGAGCAGGTGCCAACACGCCTGCCCATCAATCTGCCGCCCAACTCCCACATACCTTCTTGAGCTCCTCAACCTGGCGAGGATCTCCAGCACTGACTCGAGCCTGCTCTAATTCCCTCTGCAAGACCTCCATCTTCTCCCCAAGCTCCTCTTCCACTTCCTCCTTCTCCATGCGCAGCTGCAGGAGTCTGAGCCGGTGAGGTGAAACAAAGGGGAAAGGGAAGAGGGTAAGGTCACATATCTGGGAGAGGTCAATGGACTATGAAAACCACCTCTCTGGAAGCCAACATACCATTCCCACTCTCAAGAGAGAGGAGGGTGGATATGAACATGAGCAGTTTGAGAAACGGAAGAGGAAGAACACAGCATGAATAGAAAGGAAGTGGGAGATAAGAATCAAGGGTATGGCCTGATGCAATGGTTCACACCTGTAATCCCAGCACTTTGGGAAGCAGAGGTAAGAGAACTGCCTGAGCCCAGGGGTTCAAGACCAGACTGGTCAACTTAGTAAGACCTCATCACTACAATGAATCAAAATATTAGCTGGGCATGGTAGCATGTGCCTGTAGTTCCGGTTACTTGGAAGGCTGAGGTAGAAGAATCGGCTGAGTTCAGCAGGTCGAGGCTGCAGTGGCCATAAGTGTGCCACTGCACTCCAGACTGGGTGACATAGTAAGACTCCAACTCAGAAAAAAAAAAAAGAATCATGGGTAAGGCCAGGTGCAGCGGCTCACACCTGTAATCTCAGCACTTTGTGAGGCTGAGGAAGGAGGACTGCTTCAGCCCAAGACTTTGAGACCAGCCCGGGAAACATAGCAAGATCTCATCTCTACCAAAAAAAAAAAAAATCAAAAAATTAGCTGGGCGTAGTGACACAGGTCTCTAATCCCAGCTACTTAGCAGGCTGAGGTAGAAGGTCTGCCTGAACCCAGGAGGTTGAGGCTGCAGTAAGCAATGATCATACCACTGCACTCCAGCCTGAGCGACAGAGTAAGACCCCGACTCAAAAAAAAAACCAAAATAATTAAAAAAAAAAAAGAATCACTCCAGCCTGGGCAGCGACAGAGTGAGACTCCCACTTAAAAAGAATCACGGATAAGTGTTTCTAAGAAAGGGCCAGGGTCATTACTCCTGCTTGGTGGCTCGAAGTTCCTCCTTGTTCTTCTGGAACATGCTCTGCCAATGACCTGTCTCCTCAGAGGTCTCCTCTAGCTCTCTCTGCAGCTCCCGCACCAGGGCTGACATCTTCTGTCTCTCGGCCTCCAGCGCTGCATGGTCCTAGGGAAGGGGAGATGGGGTACCAGGAAGCTCAGGGGAGGAGTTCACTTCAAACCAGCATGAGTGTGTAGAAGGGGAGGCCCAGACCCAGAGGGCACCATGCCAGTCATACCCGATACCCTAGGGGTGCCTGGGATAATACTAACAGGAGGTTCTCTCCCCAAGTCACCATCCACCCCTCTGGCATCTATAGGAAGTCACCCCAGTTGCTTCCCCCATGGGACTCTGCTCACATAACCTCACGGTACTTCTGACTGCACTCCCTCCCTCTGCCCTTGTAGGCTTCCTGGCCAACACTGTCACTGCATCTCACATGTGTCCTTTACAGGGAGTTCCTGGCTACAACCATTAAAAGTCTAAAAGTGCAAGATCCCAAGGAACCCTGTTCCCCAGCAGGTCCTGGTCTCGTCACATGCCTGGGTTGCGTCTTGCATGCTCCGGCGAAGCTGCTCTGTGTCACGCTGGCATTGCAGCCGGACGTGCTCCACCTCCTGATCTCGGGAGGCCACCTCCTCCTTCAGGGCCCCCTTCAGGGCTGTCAGCTCCCGCTCTCGCAGCCTCAGCTGCTCCTCTACCCGCTGTTTCCCCTCCAAGACCTCTTCCAGAAGCTCCCGGGTCTCTAACAGGTCCTGGAGAAGGTGGAAGTAGAACAAGGATGACCATATTAGGATCCACCTGTCTGTTAATTCACTCATTTAGTCAAAGAATAGTTAGCGAGCACCTTATCTTAGGAACAGTACCAGGTGTGTCTGACCTTCCAGATGCCTTGTTAGGATAAAGGAAATCAGTCACTATTCTGGGCTCTGGCCACAGAGTCTGGCTGAAAGCATACTAAGGAGTACCCGCACTACCCACTCCGTTTTTGTTTTTTTTTGAGTTGGAGTCTCACTTTGTTGCCCAGGCTGGAGTGCAGTAGCATGCTCATGGCCACCGCAGCCTTGACCTGCTGGGCTCAGGCAGTCCTTCCACCTCAGCCTTCCAAGTAGCTGGAGCCTCAGGCATGTGCCACCATGCCCAGCTAATTTTCTGATGTACTGTAGAGATGAGGTCTCACCAAGTTGCCCAGGTTGGTCTCGAACCCCTGGACTCAGGCAATCCTCTCGCCTTGACCTTCCAAAGTGCTGGGATTATAGGCTTGAGTCACCATGCCTGGCCTAGGTACTCCTACTTGGGGGAACCACGGAGGAGCAGATATGAGGATTCAGAGATCAGGGCACACAGCCCTGCTCCCTACCTTCAGCAGCGCCTCCTTAGCAGGCTCAGGCCCCTGGACCTGTTTCAGCTTGTTCTGCAACTCCACCACCTGGGTCTCCAGCCTGTGTCGAAAATTCTCACCCTGGTCCAGGAGGAGCTTCATGTTCTGGAGCCTAGTAATAGGTAACATCACTGAGCACATGCCAGGCAGTATTCCAAACATTTCATATACATTAATTCACTTAAACCTCATTCGTTCAAATCTTTATGAAATCTCCCTTGACTACAGGAAGTTCCCAACACACGAACGAGTTCCGTTCCGGGAGCGCATTTTTTTTTTGTTTGTTTGTTTGTTTTGAGTTGGAGTCTCACTCTGTCGCCCAGACTGGAGTGCAGTGGCCGCTCCCGGCCACCACAGCCTGCTGGGCTCCAGTGATCCTTCCACCTCAGCCTTCCAAGTAGCTGGAACTACAGGCGCGCGCTACCACACCTGGCTAATTTTT